AGGAATACAGACATTTACTTGCAAGCACTTATTTGGGGTTTAAGTTCATTGTCATGGACTAGATTGAAATGCAGGGTTTCAGTCTTAATTTTTCTTCTCTTAATTCATATCCTAGCTATTATTGAAACACTGAAAATCTACGAAACAAGTCCCTACATAATGTCAGCTTCCTGTCGTAGTTTTTGTTTGGTCCTACACCTGAAAAAAATACGGTGATTTCCAAAACTCGGAGGAAATATTTGCTTTCTTATATTTTCACCATTAGCACTTAGCGCTTGCACATTTAGATTGACAATAATTGCCCATCAGTTAGGTTGTAGACCCATGAGTTTGTGATATTTTAAATTAAAACCTTTACAAAAACTTTAAAGGAGTTAGTATTTAAAAACAAAGAAACCAGTCAGGTATAAATAAAAGAGTCCCCTCCCCAGTTCCTATAACAAATAAACTTTTAAAATATGCTGGTCCCTTAATAAAAATAATTCATCTTTGGTATCTAACATATATTCTGTTCAGCACTTTACCACCAAATTTGTGGTAAATTCCACCAGCTATTTTGTCTTAAAACCCCATGTTTAATGCATTTGAGATCTATTGGCAAGGCAGTGTGATGGAGCAGGAGCAGAGGCCTGCAGGTCTGTAAGCCAGAGGTTTATCAGCTATAAGTAAGGATGATGATAATACCCATCTAGGACTTTTGTGTGCTTGGTACCTGCCTGGCCACAGAATCTGAACTCAAATATCTCCTCTGTTAGGGCTATCAGGATTCCAATCATAGGTGAGATGGTAAGTTTAATATTTAATGATTGAAACACAATATAGAAGGACAAATGGAGAAGACAAACCCATTATTTTGTAAATATGGTCTCAATAACTTCAGGGAGAAATTCATGGTAGTAAAGTTGGGTACTCGGTGCTTGATCCTTCCTTGACCTAAATGGCCCCTTGGTGGGTTCCACAGCATGACCTCAACTTTTTTTTTTCCCCTTAGGCTGTGGAACTCTGCTAATATTGGATCAAGATGAATCTGGGCTTAGGATTTTTAGAAGGTAAGATGGATCTCTAATTATTAACTCATATGTATTCTCTTTTGCTATTAAAGCCTTAATAGAATTTGGTTTTGAATCTTCTTTATCCATACAATTTTTTTAAATTTTAAAATCTGCAATATAAAAGAAACTTCAGCGTTTCCATAGTGTAGAACTTACTTTTGCCATCAAGTTTGATTGTCATTTTTCTTCTACAGCTCTTATCTCTTAGTGTCCATTTAGGAATTATAAAACTAAAAAAAAAAATGAACTAATTAGTATATTGCTGTGTGACATTTGTATCTTTGCTCTCTTCTTAATGTTGTTTAGCTTCACTCATTCAGAAGCTAATTACCCATTTTGTAGATCTCTTTCCTGTCTTTCCATGCATGTCTTGTCTGTATGTTGGACTCAACACCTCTGTCAGAGCAGTCAGGGTAGAGCAAGGAAAGGAAACGCTGTCAGAAAATAACTACCTGCTCATGGCTCATGTGAAAGATTTATGGGAGACATTGAAATTATTGCTCTAAATTAGTATTTTAAAGTGCTTGCTAGTCCTGCCTCTGAACCACAAAAAACAGGGAGCACCCAAGTATGGCAGCATGCCCTCATGTAAATAGTGCTGTATTGCTAGCGGGCAGACCTAATTTTAATATAGCTTTACAGTTCTCTAGCTGTATGAATTAGGCTATTCTTTTAACCTCTCCGAACTTGTTTCTGCATATGACAAGTGCCAGTTGTACTTATTTCTCATTGTTGTGAAGATCAGGTGAGATAATATGTGTTAAAATGTGATAAACTTAAAAAAACTGTAATGTTATTTTTATTTTATATTCAGCTGCCTATATAACTAGATGTTTTTGTTGTAATTTTTCCTGGTATAGCTTTGACTGGAACGATGGCTTGTTTGACGTGACCTGGAGTGAGAACAATGAACATGTCCTGGTCACTTGTAGTGGGGATGGCTCGCTGCAGCTCTGGGACACCGCCAAACCCACAGGGCCACTGCAAGTCTACAAGGAGCACACTCAGGAGGTAGGAAGGGAGTCTCCCTGGGCCTAAGGTTCTTCTTTGGGTGAAATATATTTGGGGATGCAAACTTGGGGAAATGTCTTAGGGGATAAGAAGTTTAAGCTTTGGTGTTTGTCCTACAGGTTGTAAGTCACTTATTATTGGATTATTCAGACATAAACTACCTCTTGGTCGAAAGAGCTAGGAAAGAAGAAGAGGTCAGGTTTCTCATTAGTCAGTAGAAATGCCTCCATTCGTAAGCATACCGTGGCATCAGTTCCTCCAGCTCTCTGTCCTCTTGCTGTGGGAGTATGCCTGCCATAATCTGCCTCAAGATAGAGGTAGGCGGACTTTTCACAAGACATCGCAAGATTGCCTTTAGGTCTTCAGTAGGATTCCAGAGGATTTTCAGAATATATTGGAGCAAGAACGTCAATTACTGAAGAGATTTTAAATCTAAATCAGGTTCATATTTCTAGATAGTGTGTAGCATAAAAAATAGTTTGATCTTATTAAGTTATATTAAAATACATTTATGTTTTTAATGAACATGATGGTAAAGACATGCTCTTTTGATGTTTTACTTTAAATGTCTAAACATTTTTCTTGAGGTAGCAATAAATCCTTCAAATGAAAACTTGCAAATTTACTTTAAAATTTGTGTCTACACAGGGCTTGGCCCATAGAAGCCTTTACTTAGTAAATGCTTATCAGATGCAGTATTAGTCTTTTGTGATAAAAGATTCATTATGAGGAATCCAGACATCATTTTATAGCTATAGCTGTTAAAAATCGGTGTTTCTAAAATTGTGAGTGAAAATTATGAAAAATTATAGTTTTTCTATTTTATTGTGAAGGCTCTTTGAATAAGGGTAGTTATAAATTATTATATTTTCATAGAATCACTGAAAATTAAGACAACTTTGGTAAAGAAGAACTTTAGTTTCAGGATATTCAATGCAAGAATTTCCACAGAGCAGGATGTCCAAAATGCAGACATTTTTGTGGTACCTTCATGATTTTTGCCATATTCTTATACTACATATAATTAATTAAAAAATTTTTTAAAAAATATTTTTTCTTTCAAAAGTTTTTTTTTTCTTTTTATTAAATCTTTGGTGCCATGTATTATTTATCTATATAAATTCTAGAGCTGTAACTAATGGGTCATAAAATATCTAAGTATGTCACTTAATGCTTTTCTTTAAGTGAGCTTTATGTTATTTCACTCATTTTAAAATAGTTACATTCATGAAACCATAGGATTGATAGCTAATTTAGTATATATATTAAATTGTAACATGTTAAAATAAACATATAATGAATAAAATAAAGTCTATGTACCAGTTAAAATCATCTCATACAGCCAGTGGTATTTGTACTGCAGCATGGAGCAAATGTAGTTTTATAGTTGTTTGTATGGAAAATAATACAATAATCTATATGAATAAAAGGGTAATATGCTGATTAGACCGGACATCTTCTGGATGTCCTTCCTGACAAAGCTGGGCCCGGGAGAAGCTGCCCGCCTGCAGTCCCGGTGCCAGCAGCTGCAGCCGGCCAGTGAAGCCGGCCTGGGTCCTGGGTTCCTGCGGCCAGCAGGAAGAGGGAAGCCTGGGTCCTGGGTGCCTGCGGCCAGCAGGAGGAGGGAAGCCTGGGTGCCTGGGTCCTGGGTGCGTGGCCGAGGCAGAGGTGGTTAGGGGTGATCAGGCAAGCAGAGGTGGTTAGGGGCGGTCAGGCAGGCAGAGGGGTTACAAGTGATCAGTTAGGCAGGCAGGCGAGTGGTTAGGAGCCAGTGGTCCCGGTTTATGAGAGGCATGTCCAACTGCCGGTTTGTGGGATCGCCTGAGGGGTCCCGGATTAGAGAGGGTGCAGGCCAGGCTGAGGGACCTCCTGCCCCCGTGCACGAATTTCGTGCACTGGGCCTTTAGTTAATAATAATAAAAGCATAATATGCTAATTGGACTGGACAGCCGAATGACCTTCCGGATGACCTTCTGGATGAAGCTGGGGCTGCAAGGGCTGAGGCAAGCTGCCGAGGCAAACAACTACAGCTGCGAGGGCTGAGCCCCTTGCACGAATTTCGTGCATCAGGCCTCTAGTAATAATAATTTAAGAATAAACTGTGTTTCATGTACTCACAACTGTAAACCTGCTTTGCCCCACTCTGTACATACTACCTTCTGGAAAATACTATTCTAGAATGTTCCTCATGATGGTCTCTCAGTCTTTGCTTCATTTCTGTGAAATCGAATTTCACTGTTTCCATAACTAACCTGACTTTTAGATTGCTGTAATGGTTAGAAACAGCTCTCTTAAGCCCAAATCTATTCTCCAGGCAACGAACTGTTGCTTCTAATGCCTTTCTGTGAAGTGGTGAGATTAAGTCCAATCTCCCTTTTCCAGGAGAACCCTTGAAAATAGTCATCATGTCCCCTTCAGTCTTCTCTCTTCCAGACTGTGCACTTGTAATTCCTTTAACCTGTCCTCAGGTTACGTGGTCTCTACATTTGTCACCCTCCTGGTAAACTTCTTTGCATACTCTCCTGTTCTTTAGTGTTGCTTTTAATATTCTATACCTAATTTATCCCATAAATGTGTTGATCAATGCTGGGCTTTATAAGACTTTGCCAACATAATCTTGAGCCTCTAATTCTAATAATGTTACCTAACCTGGCTGTATATTTTCTTCAGCCATGTCATAGTGTTGGGTTACTTTGAATCTATTACTAAAGTACCTCAGTCTTTGTTATTTGAACTGCTGTTAAACTAGGTTTACATCATCCTCTAATTATGTAACTTGTTTTTTTTAACTGAGGACATACTTTGTTGTTTGTTTGTTTTTTGTCAGACTATTATTCTAGATTGTCCTTCCTCATTTTCTTTTCAAATGCAGTTTTTGAAAATCATTTGTATCAGTTAGGATGCCTTGGCTGTTAGTATAATAAAAAACTGAACAAAAAAAAATGCATGCAATAATCAGAGTTTATTATTTCGCATAACCAAGCATATGGAGGTGGAATGGGTCTAGGCTTGGTTAATTCAAAGGTTGAGATAATGCCATCAAATACTCAAGTTCCTTCTGTCTTTCTACTCTCTTATCCTTAGTGGGTTTCTTTTCTTCTTATTCTCCTTATAGTTCCAACTATTATCTCATCACCCTGTGAGGTCAAAGAGCAAAAAAAGTGAATGTCCCTATCTTGGGACTTTCCTAAAGCCTTACAGCAGCACCTCTTCATGTCTCAGTGGCTGGAAGAGCATCACATGCCCAGTTCTAACTCTATACCACTCCTGCTTTCACCTAAATGAGATTCACCCTTCAGGTGAGGAAGGACAGAGCTTTTCCTGAAGGACAAAGTTGGGGTTGTGTGAACAAGAAGGAACCCTTTGGAAGCCAAACATCTCTATGTGCCATAACATTACTTCTTGTTTTTCTCACAATCCTCCTATGTAATAAAAGCCTAATATGTTAAGTGTCCCGTTGTCCAGTTGTCCATTCAACCAATCAAAGCATAATATGCTAATGATACGCTAAGGCTGCTCAACTTCTCGCTATGACGTGCACTGACCACCAGGGGGCAGACAGTTGACTGGTCGACCAGTTACTATAATGTGCACTGATCACCAAGGGGGTAGATGCTCCGACCAGTAGGTTAGCTTACTGCTGGGGTCCAGCCGATTGGGACTGAGCGAGAAGGGCCCGACATGCCCTGGAACCCTCCCGTGGTCCTTCCCCAGCTGGCCAACCTCCCATGTCCCTCCCCAACCCTGATCTTGCACCAGTGGGGTGCCTTGGCCTGGCCTGCACCCTCTCGCAGCCCAGGAGCCCTCAGGGGATGTTGGAGAGCTGGTTTTGGCCCAATTCCTGCAGGCCAGGCTGAGGGATCCCACTGGTGCACGAATTCATGCACTGGGCCTCTAGTTGTTTATAAAACTCAAATTACACCAAGAAGGGTGATGAGTAGAGAATTGTAGGTATCTCATAAAAGTCATCCTCCATGAGGTTGTTAAGAGAAAGAATTTCTGATGATCAACTTAAAACTCAGTATTATAATACCAAATATTTGGCTTTTTTTCATTAAAGAGGAGCACAGCATTTATTCAAAGTTTGTCTCTTATACCAAATATGCAGAGACACTTAAAAGGATTTAAAGTCAAAGGAGAGTTTTGAGGAGCTAATAAAAATTTGTTGGCCGAGACCAGTTTGGCTCAGTGGATAGAGCGTCGGCCTGTGGACTGAAAGGCCCCAGGTTCGATTCCGGTCAAGGGCATGTACCTGGGTTGCGGGCACATCCCTAGCGAGGGGCGTGCAGGAGGCAGCTGATCGATGTTTCTCTCTCATCGGTGTTTCTAACTCTCTATCTCTCTCCCTTCCTCTCTGTAAAAAATCAATAAAATATATTTTAAAAAAAATTTGTTGAATAAATTAGTAAGTGAATGATCACAGGTGATTCCTATTTTTCCCCACCAATGTGTTCAGAGAAACTTTGTTATACAATAGAATAGCACACAATGGGTCATTTTCTCCCATGGGAGAGTTTAGAATGGTTTTGAATCCTGGCTCTATAACTTTCCAGCTGTGTGACCTTGGGCAAGTTACTTTCCCTAAACCTAGTTTCTTCAATTGCAAACGAGGATAATAGTTGGTGTTTTAGGTTTGTTGTGAGTGCTTAGAACAGAGCCAGCACTAAATAAATAATGAGCTATTATTATTTTTCTCTTATTATAGTAGGGTTGTAAAGGCATGAAACAAGTTAGGAATCTTCCAGTTGCTCATTTCACCACTCAGTGACTGTCTGAAAAATGTCCAACAATCCTTTTTCAGATAGTCAGATAAGTAGGTACTGAAGCAAAAAGAAGAAATCCAAGACCTAGATATATTTTAGGCCTTGAGGAATGAAGGTCTTGGTGAAATGAAAGAAAATCATGGACATTATTCCTTTGCATGGCTTCTAAATTTAGCATCAAAGCAGAAATCAAGTTCTCTATGTTAACTGGCAGCTGCAGAGGCTGTTATGTCTTTT